GGGTTCTCCTCCCATCTGGTGCTATCTGGACGAGTCGGTGATAGGCTGGAGGTTTGGAGGCCCTCTCGTGGGGCAAAGGTTCCCGGAAAGTCTCCGGTGAGCCAAGACGTCGCGAATGCCACAGATCATGCTCAATTATGAGATCTTCAAGTTTCTTCTTCTTTTCATCGGGAAGGTCTGCATACGCCCGTCGCGTGTCAGCGAAATGGGTCCAACTTCCGCCGCGGACGGGGTCGCCGTGAGCCAATAGAAGAGAGTATTTAGAGCGATGCTGGTGATATGACGAATCCTAACTCAAGGTTAACTCAATCAGGCTTTTTTAGTGACTAAGACAATCGACAGTCAACCATGATGGGATGTGTATGGCTTACAGTATGCCATAAAGCGTTTCCTAGACTATGATGCCATCTTCGACTGTTGGGTTGGACAAGAGTGCCGTCAAGATTGATACTAGAACACAAGTCAGCCGCAGTCTAATATGTGAATGAATTTTGTCAAGCTAAAACACACTTGCCGACGTCCCACAGAGCAGGCTCCCCAATACGATCATTTTCTCGTCCGTAAAAGAAAGGATTCACCTCTAGATCCTTTCCAAGTTGTTGTGAAAAGTCTATGTGTCTCTTGTTATCAAGACCCGTTTCACGGAATGTCAAAACCGCATATTTATCTTGAAGCTTAACAAGCTTTGGATTTGTCAGCCCCATACAAGCCTTATTAGGCTACATTAGAGACCGACCTGCTTGATAATCGTATCTGGAACGGGCTTGCTCCAGTCCACGCCAGACACTTCGGCTCCAAATGACGAGTTTTCTGACACAAGGATAGGTCTAACTGTCAATTGTCCGTCTTGAATTTGCGCAGGCGCTCCGCGAAGACGGAGAACACCGTCACTTGACTCTGGAGGCCAAGTGTTAGGATATACTGTCGTAATGTTTGTCAACATGTCCGCTATCTTGAGTCTACCTTGCATGGGTAGCCGAAGAACTACTTTTCGAGTCGACGGCGACAGGACAATACCTCATATTCTCAGTTATATGTAATGCATTTCAACGATAAGATCCAATAAGTCAGTACATATGAGTGGCGCATCTATGACGATCAGCGCGGCATTCAAGCCGACCGAGCCGACTCTTGGCGCGGGCACTATCCCGACCGCCCGACCCGCACCTGGTCCGCTGTTATCGCCGGCTTTTAGGTCCCGGACCAACTGTTGTGTCTTTCGATTGAGTCAAGTAAACTCACTGCGTCAAACTACCGCTTACCATTTACAATACGAGTTACGGAAATGACGACGGACTGGGTCATTATCACCGCAGGACCCTTCAAATTCGTTGGGAGACTTGAAGAAGCAGCTCCAAAAACCGTAGACGTGTTTCGCAAGCTACTTCCCTATCGACAGAAGCTGATTCACGTGAGATGGAGTGGCGAGGGATTATGGGTTCCGTTGGGGGATACGGATTTCGGATTGTCGTTCGAAAATCATACTAGTCATCCGTCATCAGGACAGATCCTTTTGTACCCAGGAGGCTACTCAGAAACCGAGTTGCTCTTCTGTTACGGAGGCGTAGCGTTTGCAAGCAAGATGGGTCCATTAGCAGCGAACCACTTTTTGACGATTGTGGAGGGAAATGAGAACCTTAGGCCTTTAGGGGAGAAGGTCCTTTGGGAAGGAGCACAAGACATTGTGTTTGAAGAAGCAACTAGTGAAATGTATGCCACTTCCTTCGTCTTATCCCACATCCGCGAAAACTTACTGACTGGCATAATAGGGTTGACCAATTCCGGCGTGATCGATCTAAGGCCCTCTCTAAGATACCAAACGCCAAGCTGTAAACATACATGGAGACAACCAATCGACGTAGCTCTATCAACCATCTACCTTCTAGACTTCCCACAGCTCAGAAAGTCGAGGATCATCATCAAACACTGTACTAGGCCAGTCCAATCCCGAGTCATCCATCAGGTTGAATAGCTCCTGTAGTGCTGGATCTAGCGAATCATCCGCCACTTGGGAATCACTTTCATCCAGTGGCAGCACCAACGATGCAGCATTGGCAACCAAAGGAGATATCTTATCAATAGGGCGGAGTGCAGCAGCCTTTGGACTGTGGCCAAATATATCCATCGCAAGCTTTGCCAGGCGGGCAATGACAGATGTTGGACGTGGCCGCAATGGAGCCCGATTAACGTTTGCGTCGAGGGATGCAAGGATCGAAATCTGGAGGTCATCTTGAATAGAATGCATTAGATCATGAACAGTGAGAGTTTCTGAGTACAAATACCATCAACAGTGCCTCTTATGTAACACAGAACAATAAATGTCAGCGCAAAGGCATGGGATATCCAAGTCGAGTCGACCGCATGGTGAAGGCTGATTAGTGACGCAGGATCCACGTCGAATGATCCGTCTGGAAAGGAAGTAGGATCCTGTGAGGTAATGCTCCATACATCACTTGCAGCAGTCCTGCTTTGGGAGAAGAGTATTTGCGAAGCAGCCGTGAGGCTTGTCTCAAGCGCACTGAGAAGCCAAACTTGCATTGGCTGTTGCTCTTCTCCTGTTCTCTTCGACGAAAGTAGAGGCCGCAGCAATGAGCTGTTCAGGGCCAGGCGATACCACTGCATCACACATTAGTACGTAAAAGTGATCATGATATATTGGAATGCTCACCCGAACAGATGTGAATGGAAGTTGGTTATACTGCATGACTGTGTGCCCTACGCGAAAGTCAGTCACCTCCCATCTGACAGTGTCAAAAGGCGTTGGAATGCGTACGAAGCTTAGGAAGCCAATGCCTGTTCTCAGGTTAGTTATGAACACAGCAGCCGTGCGTTCGCTTACCTCTCCCAATCTTCCAAGCCTATGTTAGCTTTTCGCAGCGCGTCTACGTTTGGGTAACGCATAGAATAGCCTCGATCACTATGCTTCGCCCGCCGAACGATGGAAGCAAGCTCAACCAAAGCCGCATATCGTAGATCTCCCGGAAACTGAGCAAGACGGTGAGCACAAAACGAGCGCGCGGTTTTTTCCGCCAATGCTGGGTCTACGGAGGCCGGTAGGCCTGAAGTTAAAGTGAGGTTACAGTCGTAGGTCACAAGATTCAGCCAAACTCTAGCTCGGGACAGGTCTTCTTGACTGGCCACTGCTTCCGTTAGCCCCCGGAAAGGGGCCATAGCCGTTCTATCGAGGCCAAGAAAGCTGGCGTACCGAACGGCAAGGCCGAAAACGGCCCAGGCACTGAGGTCATTGTAACGACTTTTGAAGCTTGGCCCGGCTGCCCCCTCGATGGGAGATTTATCATATGTCTCTTCCTGAAAGTAGGGCATCCATTGGGCATATAGTAAAAGAGCACAGACCGAGTCAATTGTTGCATTGGATGGAACTGCTCGAATCAGCAGGCGCGAAATGGCGGTATCAAACAGCGCGATAAGTTCAAAATAGCGTGGGTGAAGCCCGGGGAGAACCCAGGGACTGAATTTAATCAGCAAAGACGCACACTACACGCTGCACTTATGAGACTTACTGAGAAGCCCTTGTGCTCCAAAATCGAGCACCGACACAAACAATTGCGAGAAACAGCAATTGGCTTGAATCCCGGAGTTTTGCTGCCCTGGGTCGAATAGCTTCGCTCAAAACTGGGGCCCATGCATGACAAGAATCAAAGTAACTGTAGAACATTAGAATAATGAGTTGATTATATGGGACATTCAACATACATCGCGAATGCACGCTCGCACTCGTGCATTGTCACTATGCCACAACTTATCGGATCATAGGAGGCGAATGAAGATGTACTGCGTATCTCTTGCCCATTACATGATTGCGCGTTCATGCTCTCTGGCGAGAGCGCACCCAAAGACCGCAGTGTAGCAATTGGATCTTCTAGTTCCAGGCTCTCCATATCGAAGACATCATGCCGTGTCACTGACGCTAGGTCCTGTCGGCCACGACTGGGGGTGGCGTCTCCTTCACGCCCGGCGTTGAATGGCCTATGCCTAGTATCACCTATGTTAAGAACCTTTCTAATACCAACTGAGGCCTCATCACATCAAGAGCAATGTCGCACTCACAACTGGCTTCTTTGGTTTTGGCTTTGGCTTTGGGAAAGATCATATTGTTGATGCGGTCTTCCACTGATCTTCGAAGGTTTATGCCTAACGTTGGCGAGTTCCGATTCAAGTTGCATGATCCTAGCCTCGTGAAGATGCATTCTATCAAGAGAAAGCACGCTTATCGTTAGCCCTTGCATTAAGAAGTAGGATGGAGACGCCCAACTTTTGATGAAGATCAACAACTAATTGGGCTAATCGCGAAGGGCTCAGGTCGGCCTCTGCAGGCTGAGGCTCTTCCGTCTGAAACGAACAGGTTGCCCCGTGGCTTGCACATCTCTGGCAAGGCGTTTGCGAGCTTGCCGCTGGTGACGCTGGCAGACAGCGCTGCTTCCGGCTCCGACACTGCAAGCAGGCGCGGACAGTACGGCGAGCTTTTGCGGCCCGGTGCTCGCTGGTACTGTAGTAGACCAAAATGCCTCAGGTCAGTTGAGCCAATGACATGACTGAACCCATTGACTTGCCTTATGTCACCAACCTCCATGATGCAGAAGGAACTCGATCAAATGACTGGGTGTTTACTGTAGCTCTTTGAACGGCGTTATATCAGGGTAGTGGACAAGCTTTTGATAAGCTCTTGATAAGCTCTTTTGCCAAATATTAGCGTGTAAATGCGTGGTGATCGTCCCATTCTGGTACCTTACAGGTTATCTCAGGGTGCATTCCCCACCAAGATAACGCTGCAAATTAGCTTACTGGTCTACGGCACCGGCCCAATGGGAACCGAATGAAGGATGCAGATGGGGACCCTGATACTGATGTGATGATCCACTGGGCCGTCACTCACGGCACGCCAGTAATATCACACATAATGCTATTTCTAATCGCTAAGTGCTAGTTGATAGCACCATGCAGCTAGCTACAAGGGCAACCCGCGAGAGTAACCTCCAATCTTAAATCATGACCAGTCCAAGCTCGGTGCAGTTCAGATATTGTCCGCCAACTTTCTCCACCAATTCTTTGGCGATGGCTGTCGATGTCGGTGTTAGCACTCAAAGTAGCCAGCATTCTATCAGCTCAAAAATGCTTACCTCACTTGGCAAATCAGCAGAGGACGCTGATGTGAAGTCCATTTCATGGTAGCCAACCATCTTGCTTCGGTTCCAGAATTTGTATCCAAAAAACAGAACAGCAAAGAACGGAATAGGGAAATAGGTGGTGATGAAGGAAGACGTATTGAAATGGTGAACTAGATGTGGTCAGTCACCTGGAAAGCAATAATTTCTAGAGGAGCGCTACTTACTGAAAGAAGTGAAGCCCCCGAAGATCAGAACCATAATGCAAACTACTAGTCCATCTGTAATTGTTTGTTAGATGAAGACCCATGGAAAGCGCGTGTGGAACATACAGTAGCTCAAGTAGGGTTGAAAGGGCGCTTTGTATGCTAGAGTATTTCGGTCAATACCATGCACCTTCAGACCCTTATGCCAGCGGATGCTGGTCCACAAGATGCCAGTCCAGGAGATGATGCCGCAAATAGCCGTCATGTTCGCGACTGTTCAACCCGTTAGTAGCTCTCGTGACTGCGTGTGAAGGGTTGTCTTACAATAGCCGAAGACAGTTCCCGCCTCCGTATTTTGGCTGGCGGCCATAAATGATAGAAGAGCGAAGACTGATCCAATCGTAACCGCGACCCAGGGGAGACCATCTTTGCGTGTCTTTCCAATGAATGAAGGTGCTTGGCCTCTTGTATAGAGCCCGTAGAGCGCACGAGATGAGACAAACAAATCGGCAACCCCAGCTGACCACGCACTGGTGAGAAGAGCTGCGTTAATGATAGACGGCAGGACATCGATTCCCGCGTTCTTAATGGCAATGACAAACGGGCTCTTTGCAGCGGTTGAGTTCAAATCGAGCGATGGATCTGTCGGTGAGACAAGGATGCCAATCATGAAGGCGCTAATGAGATAAAACAAGACAATCCGAATCCATACGCCTTTGATGGCATTCGGTACAGCCTTCCGGGGGTTCGCCGTCTCGGCTGCCGCAATGGCCGTGATTTCCGTGCCGATGAATGCAAATGCAGCACTTATCAGATCACTAAAGAACCCCAAGAAACGGCCTTTCGCACCGGCAATACCCTGGTATTGAACAAATCCTCCGGTCTCGTTCCAAAAGCGAAAGCCGATAGCTTCATGGTTCGGGCCACCTCCAGCACTGATAATAATGCCAGTAATGATCAAGCCGATAATGGTAATGACCTTGATGGAACAGAACCAGAACTCCATTTCTCCATACACTTTCGTTCCGGCAAAGTTGACGGCATAAACAACAATTAGCATCAAACCCACCCACATGGCGTTGTTGCAAATTCCAGATGTGCACATAGAATCCTCGACGCCAGCTGGAGTCCAGTACGAGACAAGGACCGCCGCGGCGGAGAGTTCGGCTGGGAGTACTATGATGTAGTTGTACCAGTATAACCAACCCATGGCGAATCCAAGTTCTGGAGAGACAAAGCGACTGGCCAGGGCAAATTGACCACCAGGAATCGGGAACTGGGAGACCATCTCGCCAAGGGCGACCATAACAGCAAATAATAAAGATGCCATCAAGCAGTAGCTGAGGAGCAGACCTGCTGGTCCACCATCCTGAAGATTTCCAGCAGTTCCCAGGAACAGACCTGTTCCAATAACACCTCCAATTGCAATCATCTGCCTGTAACATACTTAGTATCGCTGTATCACGTTGGTATTGGTCGGATAACTCACAGATGGCGAGGTCGGAGACCGCGCTGCAACGCATGCTCAACACCAGCTAATTCGCCAACGCCATACTCGCTGTTATGTTGGGGCGGGGGAGTATCAACGCCATCGATGTTACCCTTCGACACCCCCTTCTCCGTGTCTTCTGAAGCCATGTATGCTGCAGGAAATTTTGTTCAATTAGACGCTTCACAGAAGTTCTTAGCAGGCTTCAGTACGAAGAGATTCAATATGCAGGATAACGAGGGCCCGTTTCAACTATCTCAATATACAGGAATGAGAGCGTGTCCATGATCAGACATCCCATTTCTATATTCGCTGCAGTCGGTTGGGCGGCATTCAGACCGAGACTGATTAGGTCTTCCCGAATCTGGAAACTTCGTACCCCCAGCTTTCGAGATAAGAGCTTTTGACTATGACCATTTCCCTCTTCATAATTGCTCACGCAAATTAGCATTTTGTTCGAAGTGGGTATCATAGATAACGTTAGGGCGAGAATATGCGGATCCACGGCGGAGATGCCGAGATATTACTACGTGTCGGCTACTGAGCCGCGTTGCCGACAATGCTTGTTTCGACTGACTTTACACTAGAGAAGATGAGTAAAACGGCCGATTGGCTTGGGGTAGATTGATTGAAAAACACAGACCTCAAGGATAGCGAAACACCAGTCAATCAAAGATGGGACGAAAGCTGGAGCCAGGGGTTTATGGCCCCTTGCCAACATTCTTCGGTGACGACCAAGAAATTGACTATACCAGCTACAAAAAGCATTTACTCAGTAAGGTCTCAATTCCAGTTACAACAAAGAATATGACTGACTCGTAACCGTTTTGAACAGACCTTGCAAATAAAGGAATTGGTAAACACTGTCTGCTATCAATGGCAATTTAAGACGATTAACTCTTTTTGCAGTACCTGTCTGCGCAGGTTCTCTAGGCGAGGCTGTACACTTGGTGAGGATAAGCACGAGTTCAACTGCGGACTAACGGCAAAGTGCTAAGATAAGCTAGGGCTATGATGAACGCGTGAAGCTCATTCGATTCATCAGGACAACCCTGGATGAGGCAGGACTGTCATCAAGGCCGATCGTGGCCGGCGTTGGGGGCTCATGCACAAGAGAAACAATCCGTTTGGCCCGCGACGCAGCTGAAGCTGGAGCGTAAGCAATGAAAATGTCAAGCAAACTAGATAAGCTACTGATGCCACGGCTTTCATCATAGTGACGCCGGCCTCGTGATACTTCCTGCATATTATGCTGCAAGCCTCAATCAGGATCAAGAACAAGTCATTCAATATTACACTGACATCTGTCAAGCATCACCAGTAAGCTTGAAAAATTTTAAGTATTACTCCTACTTATTTCATTTGGCAGATACCTTTATTTTTGTACAACTTCCCTGCCAACGCCGCAGGTCAAGACATGTCCTCAAGCACCATAGAGACAATAATTCGGCAAGCCCCCAACTTGTGCGGCGTCAAACTCACGTATGATTGCTGTTGCCTGAAAAGTTTTCGATAGAAGGTTTACTAACATTTGTTCAGGTGTGGTGGAAGTGTTGGTAAACTCGTCCGCCTGAAAGCCGCTATTCGTTCCAAACCGTCAATTGACACATGCCGTCCTTTCCCATTTTTGCTTTTAGACGGCTTGATTGCCGATCTCACTCCGTGGATGCAGTGCGGTGGTCATGGCACCGTGAGTGGCATCCCAAATTTTGCGCCGGCAGCTACAATGAGATTGTGGCATCTTCTTAATCAAGCTTCCCTGACCCCAGAGGAGACCTCTGAGCGGGAGAGGATACAGAGTATATTATCCAACGCCGATGTCGCCGCGGTTCCAGCAGGTGTTCGTGGAATGAGTAAGTCAAAATTCATCATGGCTTTGGGCTTGACGTCGAATTATTTTCTTTTAGGCCGCTGACAGGCATACAGAATACGTTCTTGGTCAGTTACACGGATACGGTAACGCACCTCGAAAGCCGCTCTTGCCGCTGAAGACAGAGGAGGGCCAAGGGCTGATGGCACAGTTTGAGGAGATGATCCAACTAGAACAAGAAATTGCAGCCAAATACTAAGTGTACAAATAGCATTCTGAAGTGACTAGATCAACTTAGTGTTCGTACCAACTTTTCGGCTTCGTTAACCATACACCTCTTCGATTCTTACCAGTTTAGTACACTGCTCAATATGAAAATGTCTCAACACCCTATAGAATTACACTTCGTGAGTATGCGGATATGGGCTTTAGTCAATCAGTACTCTTGCATGCAGCATTCGATATCACCGAATCTAAGTTACATATACTGCTGAAGGCTTGCGATGACACAATGAAAGTCTTCATCAACAGATACGTCAACCACGCAGCATAAACCCGTAACTACTAAGAATGCGAGAAAACAAACAAGACGGAGATCAAGCATCGCAACTTTCTCCAAGGTCTGCTGTAGCAGTGAAATTCGCACAAGCAAGCCTAGTTGTGTTCGCAAAGTGAAGGACTATACTCCGATTGCCGAAAAAGGCTCCGATGCCCGGTACTAGAGCAGCATACATGTCGGTGAAACTGCGCATTTGTCAGTTGGTCTATGTTCTTCGGGATGTCAAGTCTGCACTGTACCTAACGGTATTGGTGTGTCCATCAAGCTTGCCGTATTTTCCAGACAAGTCTCCAACCTCGCAAGTTTGTGGTTTCGTCGCATCACACACCGGTGTCTGGCCGCGTTGATACGGGTCGAGATGTGCAAGTGTGCCATTACAGTTGCCATCAGATGGGACTGGTTGATCGTGGATGTGGTAGCCTGGGCGATACTTGTTAGACCATGATGTCCCTTGCGGTTACAGGACATCTTTACCAAAGGGGCCGCCCTCTGTCGGCAACCCATTCACCGTTACGCTGAAAACAACACCCTTTCCAGTTGCAGCTGATGTTGCCGTGATTTCTCCGGTGACTGGACCCTCAAACACAGCAATATAGCTGGACCCTGGGGGGTTATTCGTGATCTGAGCTGCATCTCCTAGCTTCCCTGTTGTTATATTCTGCGCAGCGGCCAGAGTTATCGCCGACAGAATTATGCTGATTACGTGTGAATGCATCTTTGTTTTTGCTTTTATTCGGAGTTGTCTTGGAGGTGATTAGTGTTCGGACTACAGACTTTACCAAGTCAAGCGGAGGCGCGTTCTGTCTTTCGTATGTGTTTGAGGTCCGAATTTACTACGCAGTTTCGAGCTCGAATGTAATGGAAGTGTAATTGGATTTATAAAACTGGCCAAGATATGGCATCTCATTTACAGCATCAATATAGTACGTGGAGTCTTGCTTCCGGGTCTCAACATTGTCAATCAAATTGTTTGGATGGCGGGGCTGCTGCAATGTTGAAAGTCTCGGCAAGCTGCACATCATCTCCATAAATGGGCCCCGATAGGGTATGGACATAGGATGGTAAATGGAGTAGCAGGTTCTGCCGGGAGAGCAGCAATGGCTAAATTGGGGCAGAGTAACTTAGGTCATTGTACACATTTCAATTTCAGGCGAATTGCTGCCCGGAAGTCGGCATTGTCCAATTAACTATGAGGCTATTGCCTAGGTGAGGCATAATGACGTTAATAATTATTCTGTAGTCTCTATATGCTTCAACGTCTAGGAGCTAAGAGAGACGTAGCAAGCTAAACTGGAGATACAGAACCTGTGTCGAATGGCTTGAGCCTGAAAGCATATCAGTTCAAAAATACGAGCACGTGCCTTCTTTTCTCAGTCTGAAAGACTTGAGAATAACATCGAAATGAGTGAAAGCCGTCGAAGGTAGGGGTTGGGGCTAGATTTCGTTAATTGAGATTCTGATAGTCATGAGGCTCTCGATGAGCAGTCATGTTGCTTGCGGCTTGTGCTTTTAGGTGCTGCGCTAAGCCGCGACTTTAAGAGGCGTTACGACGCAATCGGCGGGACGAATGCCTTCGAACGATGCATGTATCCTGAGTTGGAGTCCCTTGCTTAGGGATATATTGTTTCACTCGATCCGATTGTTCGATGACTAGATCTCGTACGGCCTTTTATTTCCTCCCCGGCCTTCCACGCCTTCCATAGAGTTCTGATTATGTGGGAGCATGAGGTAACATTGGAGCAGCTTTGCAGGCGATATTAAGGTACCGTTATCATGCTGCCCAGCGGTGCGCCCAGACACTTCTTTTCTTGGCCCCAGGCAAAGAACTTGGCGTATCTTAGTGACCTGCCTGAAGTGTGCTGGGGACCTAGTATGCCCAGGATTCTCTAGCATATTAGATGGAAGATTGCACTGTGATGCGCCCGTATCGACGCCTCGTCGCTGCGCGATCTCAGCCCCCCTAGGCGCTAGATTTTGGCAACACAGGTTCTATGATTGACGGCGTCTGGGCTCAGCAAATGCAACTGCCCAAACGAGAAAGACTTTCTCGAAATACTAGGATGATAACCCATTAGTAACGTCATAAGACCTTTCCCCTGTCATTTGGATCAGGTAGACTGCCATCGAGAAATTTATAAGTTGCAATGCCATGGTCAATGGCTAGCATAGGTTGGAGACGGCCAGGGCATCTTCACTCGCCTCCATACTGTAGCCATGAAGCTGTCAAAAGGCTGGAGGCTCCTCTGTCTGGTGCCTTTCACGCAAGCATGTCTTACTGATGATGAGCTTACACATGAACTCGGTATTGCCCGCCGACAGACCGGAAACACAGGCATTCCTGTCGGAACAGGCGACAGGTTTGAAGGCGGGGCAACATTTCCTCGAGGAATTGGCACGCTTGAACCTGGAACAAATCTCACCACATTGCTCAACGTAAATGAGATTGAAAGTGGCTTGCTAGGTCTTGCAAATGAATATGGCTTCGAGACATTCACTTCGCCTTATACCACGTTCGAAAATAGGTCCCTTCTGCTTGGCAAGATTGGTGGCAAGGGTGACTGTGACGATGCATACCGCGTGTTTCTAAACGCGAACATTCATGCCCGCGAACGTGGATCTGCCGACAACCTGCTCTACTTCATCGCCGACTTACTCTATGCCGACAAGCACAAAATCGGACTAACGTACGGTGGCCGGCAGTATTCGTATTGCGATATCAAGAGAGCTCTGTCGACTGGCATTGTATTTTTGCCGCTCAGCAATCCGGATGGCGTCGCGTGGGACCAATCGACCAACAGCTGCTGGCGTAAGAACCGCAATGCCACAAACGCAATCGCAGGCAATGCCAATTCGATTGGCATTGACCTCAACCGCAATTTCGACTTTCTATGGGACTTTACGCACCAATTCACGCCCAGCGTCGCGCCGAGTTTGGCGTCCACCAATCCAGCAAGCTCAACGTACCACGGCGGAAGCCCTTTTTCTGAGGCGGAGGCTCGCAGCATCAAGTGGGTGATGGATACATTCAGCAAAGTGCGGTGGTTCTTGGATTTGCACTCATACGCAGGTGTAGTTCTGTACAGCTGGGGGAGCGATGAGAATCAGTCGCGCAAGCCGTACATGAACTTCCTGAACTCAAGTTATGATGGAGCCCGTGGGCTGATGCCAGATTCGCCTTCTGAGGGTCTCGTCTACGGCGAGTATACGCCAAGTACGGACTGGTCCGAGAATGTTTTCGCTGCGATGAGGGTTGGAAATGCTATGGACGCCTCTACGGGCCGGCACTACGAGGTAGAGCAGGCAGCGTACCTCTACCCTACTTCAGGTGCAAGTGACGACTACTCATATTCGCGTCACTTTGCAGATCCTAGGCTGAACAAGATCCATGGCTTCACCATTGAGTTTGGATTTGGAAATAACCAGGCCACTTGTGCATTTTACCCCACTGTAGACCAATACCGCCTCAATATGTTGGAGACGTCGTCTGCTTTCATGGAGTTCCTCCTCTCAGCACAAGAAATTGGCCTGGGTGATCCAGTTACTTGTTTAGCATGAGGCCCTTGAGGTCAGCTATCACAATATGTTGTTAGCATGAATAAAAATTTCAGACAAGCACAGCTATAGTAGCGTGTCTATTTCGACATCCTGGGCCTAGTAGCAGTGAAACGCAGGCTATGATTGAAGTCGTAGATTCCATTTAGCTCTTCTTCGGACTCATGGCTGTTTGTCGACTAGACATCATTTCCACTAGCTGGTACTGCCTTCGTACCCTCCCCTAGATCTTCCCCTAGCCTCTTTCCAGCGACGGTAAGAGGTTTGCAATCTTGCAGGACAAATATCATTCTCGCCCACTCGGTATCGCTGGCGTTGCGCCAAGCATGCATTGTTGCCCTCTGCACCATAACATCGCCGCGCCTCATCAATGTCGTCTCTCCGCTGTCCAGAACGCTGACTACGCTGCCCTCGATCACGATACCGTAATCGACTGACTGCGTTCGGTGCATCGGGCACTCATAGCCGGGCGCGAAGTCAACGTATCGCAGCACCGTGCCGCCTCCTTTCACAAGACCAATCGGACCAGCAGCCAGCTTAGCATCGTGGGCGGCAACATCGGCATCGTCGTTCAGGTCCGCTGGAAAGGATGTAGTATACGCAACAGACATTTCAAGTTTGTCATCGGCGAACTTGGCCCATTTGATCTGGCGGCTCGAGTGAATGACAGCCTCTCCGGCGTCGTTGTGGCCTGTTAGAAATGTGGTTGGTTCCGGGAGAGACGTGGCGAGCTGGTCGCGGGCGGCAGAGTGTTCTGCCATCGTGTATCTACCGAGGAATCTGAAACTGGTTTCGAAGATCCAATTCAGTGGCTCTCGATGTCCTAGACTGTGAAGCTGAAGTGAAATAGATCTTGAAGTGTGCGCTCAGTGATGGAGAAAATCCTCAGAAGTAGTTTGTGCATTCTTCCCTGTCCGCTGGGTGGTTCTTGCTGCTGAGCGGGGCGCGCTGCTGCAGGTTGAGTGAAGCTCTTTCCATTCTCGTCCATTTTGACAAACAGCGCTGACTGTGGGCCCCGAGTGTTTGGCCATCGTGAATACTACTAAGCAAGCGGTAAGATTGAGGATCATTAATGGAGTAATTTATACGATTCTCCTGCGAGGAAGAAGGGAATTACTAGCAACCAATCCAAACGAAGCCGAGGGAGTGTGTAGTCGCTGGGGAGGAGGACATAAAACACAGAGCATTTAATTAGTGAGAGCCCTGCGAAGGAGCCTGGCAGCCTCATGTCTGAACGACACAAGTGAGCCCTGTCGGGTGAAAACGCGACAAAAGATGGTGGGTATAATAGCCAATTATTCTTGTCTTATTAAAAAGCCACCTACCCAGGCTACCCCCGACTTATGCCTCATCGATGGTCTTGCGCCAAACGAATTGAGTCCTGTCTCAAGGCCAAGGGTCAGGAAAAAGCAATTCAGAGGCAGCCCAAGATGCCTCAAATTATGCTACTTTACCAACGCCGGGAGCTTAAAATGCCACGCTTTTCATGCGCCACGAATCCTTTCATTTTGTTCGCAGCCCTCCACGAGCTCAATATAACTGTTTTAGACATGAGTATACTTTCCAGATCGAACGTAATGGCGGCCAATGTTTTAGCCTCGATCAAAATCTCGGGTACGGTAACCTGATTTACTACTTAGACTAAGAAACATCATATTTTGTGAAGTGTTTATGGCTTCTTACTGCTCGAGTCTCCTATGACGATGCTTGCTGTGCAGCAGCAAAAGCATGGAAACTGCCGGTGGCTCGAGGATACTCAACCTTGCCCTGCCACGGTCCGTCAACTCCATTTACACGATTTGACTCGCCGTCATCAGATCCGTCATCGTCTGGGACACCCCAGCCGCCGCCACCAGGCGTATGAATTACACACCGATCTCCTGCCTTCATGTTTACCTGCCCCCTTGACCCAATATTGATCCATCGCTCGCTGCCGTCATCTAGTTTCTGTACCCACAGGTTTGCGCCGGATTCGCCGTTCTCACCGCCAAACATTCCGTATGGCTGATGAACCCGGCGCTCCGTGATGATTCCATAGGTAAGCGGTGCCCGGCATTCGAAGTCTCGGATAATTCCGCAGCCGCCGTTGAACTTGCCTCTGCCGCCACTACCTTTCCGGATTGAGAACTCGCGAAGGAGCACGGGATACCGTTTTTCGATGATTTCCATGTCTGTAGTACGCGTATTTGTCATATGAATTTGCACGCCAGACGCACCATGCCAGGTTGGACCGGCTCCTTCACCGCCGCAAATAGTTTCGCCATAACCAAAGCCAAAACCAGCACTGTCATCGCTGCTATCGGTTGTTAATGCGTTCGGATCAATGCAATTGCCGAAGAAGCCGAAGCAGTTCATGCAACCTTGAGAACCCGACGCTGCCTGGAAGGCCTTGAGCAGGAGATCAACTAGACGCTGAGAGGTGAGAGTATTACCACAGCACACAGCTGGGCCAGAAGATGGATTGAGAAATGTGTTTTTGGGCAGGATCACTTTAGTTGGTGCTAAACATCCTTGGTTGAGAGGGATGTCGGAGCCGATTAGTAGCCGCATGACATAGATAAGTGCAGAATATGTGATGGCAGGTGGTGCGTTCATGTTCGATAACATCTCACATGATGTGCCAGTAAAGTCGAAAGTTCCAAAGCCATTTTCATCGATGGTAATAGATACCTGCATCCTCGAGCCGTTATCCAGATAGTCGGTAGCCTTAAGTGGCTTAGATCCGAATTTCTTGTAAGCAGACTTGAGGTAGTTCCTCACAGCAACCTCTGCATTAGATTGGATCTGGGACATATAGAAATGAACCACGCTCTTTCCATACTCCTCCATCAATGATTTGATGAGAGTGCTGCCTTTAGTGTTGGCTGCAACTTGAGCCTTAAGATCCGAAAGGTTGTCACCAAGACGTCGAGATCCACTGCAACCGGGATACTTGCCGGGAGCTAGAAGAAGCTCGACAATGCCGTCTTCGTCGAAATTATTATCTCGGACAAGGAAAAATGACTTGATAGCAGCACCTTCTTGCCAGAGTTCCGTAGAATCACTGAGCGGGTTAATTGGCTGATATGCAAAGGCGACAGAACAAAGTACTTACGGTGGCATAGAGTTACCCCTGTAGCCGCCAATGTCAAGGTGGTGGCCTCTAGATGCAGTGTAGAAGCAAATTGTTTTGCCGTCGTCGTCAAATACCGGAGTTATCACAGTAATGTCTATTCTGGGCGTCAGCGAAAGATTATTGGTATTGAAAGCCGTGCCTACCAGGCAAATGAGTCCCGCCAGACTCAGGGTGGTTAGAAAGAAGCACATCGCCTGGACGCAGCTTGCCACGATGCAACTCATGCTGATATCTAACGGCATAACTCATACTTCCAAGATGGACTGGAACATGCGGTGCATTGGCAACAAGATCGCCATCGGGACTGAATATAGCACATGAGAAGTCCAAGCGCTCCTTGATGTTCAAGGAGATACTCGTCTTTTGCAGCGTGCGTCCCATTTGCTCCGCGATGCTCATGAATCTGTGTCCGAAAATACTTAACTTGATAGGGTCTACGACAAGCTCGCCCTCCTCCTTCTTATTCTTCTTGTTGACCAGGTCAATGACCACATGCGAGGTCAGTATCTTTGCCTGGGCCTCAGGGACAATGACGATAGTTTGAGTGCTGTCGATAATGATGGCTGGGCCAGAGATGGCCATGCCCGGACTCAATGTGTTTAGGCGGTAGATCTTTGTAGGCTGGAGGCCACCACTGGAGAAGTATGCCTGAGTCTATTACGTGGTCAGTTATGAAAGGCATAGTTGAGATTGAATCACTTACTACTTTATCCTCGCCTTTGAAGGTAAGCTTGAACTCGAGAGTTTTCAGCTCTTCAACGAGTTGGTCATTGTCACGACTAGTCTCTGCGCTCTTTCCGACACCTCTAATTCGCACATCATCCACTAGTACCTTTCTGGTTCTAGGAAAGACGAATGAAAGTTCGCGCAGATGCTCTCGTTCCAACGCACTCAGCCAGTCACCATCCTCAGGTTGTAGAATCATGAAGTTTGTATCCGTGCCATGATACCTAAGATTTAGGTATGGTTCGTGCTGGATGGATGACTCTTTGATGCCTTGGATAAGAAGGCCGTCTGTTACTTTCTTCTTCAATATGTCGAACTTCTCAGTGAGTCTAGGCAGTGACTCTTCTGTTAGGGTTTCAGAGCTCGGCTCCTGAGCCTCTTGAACAACTTCAGCTAAGGCCATGCCATACGCAGATAGAATACTGGAGTACTTGTGGATAACAACTCGCTGAATTCCGAGCTTGTCTGCAATTTCGCAAGCGTGCTGTCCACCAGCGCCACCGAAAGTGGCAAGGTTATGGTCTGCCGTCTCGAAGCCACGAGCCTCAGTCAAAGCTCGGATTGGACGGCTCATAGATTCGTTTGCAACATCGATGAATCCGTGGGCAACTTCCAATGGTGACATTGACCTGCCAGAATCGGCGTTGATCTGAGCTGTCAACTCTTCAAACTTCTTGGCAACAATTTCAAAGTCAAGAGGCAAGTTTTCTTCAGGCCCAAAAATGGCGGGGAAATAGTCTGGCACAAGACGGCCAAGGCTACCATGAAAGTAAGCGAATACTCTAGTGGACAAAAGGTTCAGTGTACTTACAAAAGATTGGCATCTGTTACTGTCAAAGGACCGCCTTTCCGGTATGAAGCAGGTCCGGGATGAGCTCCGGCGCTCTATTAGTACATTAGTTGATGAGTTATTTCACGAGACTAGTGGAACAGGGACCAACCTCCGGGCCGACCTTGAATAACCCATCACGCCAGAATAGCATGCTACCTCCTCCGGCCGCGACGGTATTAATATCAAGTTGGGGGTTCTGAATGGAAACACCGGCTGTGGTTGTCTCGAATACGTGCTCGAGTGATCCTCCGTAGCGACTGACGTCAGTTGATGTGCCACCCATGTCGAAGCCGACAATAGGTGATTTGCCATCATAAGAAGTCTTCGCATGGCCAACAACACCGCCTATAAATGCCCATTAGTAGCTTTCAGGAAGGAGAAATTACCCTGTCTCTTACCAGCTGGGCCACTTAGAATACCGCGCAATCCACTAAATGTTTTATGGCTGACAAGACCGCCATCACTCTGCATGAACTCGCAAGAAATACCATCAAGGTTTCCATCAGCGAATCCTTTGGCAAATCCGTTGATATATCGAACAATCTCAGGAGTAAGATAAGCATCCGCTGACGCAGAGCTTCCTCGAGAAATCATCTTGATCATACTTGCACCGACGCTAGACGAGATCGAGACGTGACTGAAACCGAGCTCGACAGCTATTTCGGCAATTCGCTCCTCATGTTTTGGATATAGATATGAGTGGGCAAGGCACACCGCAATTGTTTCTATGCCTTTCTCTTTGATATAAGCAAGCTTCTCCCGTACCTCGGTCTCGTCTAGCGGTCGCACAACACGCAAAATATCACCGGTGATACCCTTTACGAAGAGGCCAGGAACCTCTTTTAGTGGCGGCCGGCTATCCTTGAATACATCTTCGTCGAATTGCTCAACTGTCAGTCTCTCGGACACCTCAACAACCTCATCATATAGTAGTTCGGGCTTCTTGATACCCAAGTCAAACAACCTTGGTCTTGATTGGTAACCGATGTCAAGAAGATCCCGAAAGCCTTGGGTAACAACAAAGGCATGGCGTGTTCCTTTTCTCTCCAATAGGGCTACGTGGCTCATTTGTTAGGGCAAGGTCATATCAGGACGTAATATATAGGAGTCTCACCATTAGTTGCTACAGTGGTACCCATCCTGATAGAGTGAATTAGTCCTTTGGGGATGGGCGATCCCCGAGGTATGGACTGGCCCGAGACCATCTCCAACACACGGCGGATGCCTTCGGCAGGAGCATCATCGTAATTACCCGGATCAACAGAAAGCAACTTTAGGACAATATCAGGTCGGCCGGGCACTGAAGCCCAAACATCTGTGAATGTACCGCCACGGTCTGCGAGTATGTCAGCAAGGTGGCCGTGAACGATGGCAATGAAGTATGGCAAAGATAACATACCAATAGCGAATTTAACGCTATTTGCTTGAACTTGAACAGGGGGGTCCACCGCCATCTTGCAGTGCTTTGAGAAGTCTCGCAAGTCTGCTATCTGTGAAGAGCTCGTTCTCCAGAGATGTTGATAAGACCGACTTGGTTCGTCTGATATACATGTTTCTAGAGCAGAAACGGCGGCGGTCCATGCTCCGTTCTCGGTCCTCTAGGGCATATCATTGGATCGTCGTCCAGATAGATGCATCATATTCATGGTCTTCGATTCGACTTGCCTTGCCAACTAGCATTATCTGGATTGGGATGAGCCAGGGCTTCTTGAAACATGGCGATAACATGGTGGAGCTGCGGGGGAACGAGCCACTAAGGGGGCATCAAAGTGCCATTCGGACTAACAAGTCGGTCGCTAGCGGCGATCGGGATAGATACAGATGTAATTGGGCAACGGTACCCACTTTCCCCAAATCTCGTCGATTCGAACTGCCTCGAGATAAGTTGACTATCACATGTGACCAATAGCGTGTCCACAAAATTCGGCCGGCTCATATGCGGAACGTTGAGGACCCCTGAGCGGCCATGACTCGGTCCCCGTAATCCTGCTCCCAGGTTTTATCTCAACAAAGCGGGACCATTGATTGCGGAGAATATGGCTTGAATGGTGCATCTTGGAGATAACAATCTATCAGTGATTGTCAGAGCTATGGACAAGGGTCGTGCCGTCGAGCAGTGATGTATAAAGCCGTGTGACTGCTTCGGATGGGTCATGCAGCACAGCACCACCACACAACCAAGTCGTATTCTACCAGTTCACCGTCAGTGAGTGGCCAACAAAACAAGTACATCATGACCGAGAAGAAGACTCCACAGCCCGATATGGCTCCTGCAGCACAAGATGCTGATGAGATTGAAGCTGGCAATGTGCAGGAGCAAAGTGATGCCGAAGTCAGCAAGTCATTGGACGATCGTGTCCTTGACGAGGCAGCCAAATATCTCGCGACTACGAATGACTATGGTCCAATGACACCAGAGCAAGAAAAGAAGATTGTGAAGAAGATCGATGCTTGGATGATTCCACTGGTGAGACATCCCAGCTAAAAACGCCCTCATTAACATAGCTAATATCTTGAATTAGTGTCTCTTCACTGCAACCCTCGGAGCTGTTGATAAGGTTCAGATGGGTACCGCGTCCCTGTATGGCTTCCAAACGGACAACCACATGGTAGGACAGGAATATAGCTGGCTAGGGAGCATCTTGCCACTCGGGGTATGTCATGACATGATTCATTAGATTGGGCTACAAGTTAACTTGAGTACAGCAACTCGTTGGTCTCGTGTTTACGTCCTTCCTCGTTCATCGATTACCGCCTGCGAAACTTCTATGCTCAGCATCCGTTGTTTGGTCTATCTTGACAGTTTTATATGCACCATGCAGAAGCTGGTCAGGCTTCATGGCATTGAGATTCTGGATGGGTTTCATTGAGGCAGCTATCCCTCCTTGCCTTACCATGCTTGTTGCCAACTTTTACAAAAAGAGTGAGCAACCACCGAGGAATGCTAGTAAGTAAACAAAATCTTCATACTCTAGATGTACTTGTTGACATGATGGCTTAGTCATCTTCGCGTACTTTTCGTCTGTATTCAATGGCTTCTTCGCTTGGGTAGTAGGCAAAATCCCGGACGACGCACCTCTCCTCAAATGGCAATACCTATATATCCTGACTGGTTCAATCAACATTCTTTACTCCATATTCATCTTCTTTGTACTTCCCGACAGCCCCATGAACGCTCGCTTTTTCACCCCGGAACAGAAGTACCATGCTACCCAGCGCCTGGCTGAAAATCGTACGGGTATCGCGAGCAAGACTTGGAAGTGGGATCAAGTGTGGGAGGCGCTGCTTGATATCAAAATATGGATCATCTTCTTCTTTAATATCGTTATCAATATCCCCAACGGCGGTCTTGTCAACTTTGGCTCTATCATCATCAAGGATCTTGGTTACACCTCACTCGAAGCCAGTTTGCTCACTATGCCTTTTGGCATCCTTGCTACATCAAGTGCATGGCTCTTCAGCTATATTGCTGCCAGATGGCACAACCGACGGACTCTTGTCGCTTGTTTTGCACTCTTACTTCCAATTCTCGGGACAGCCCTTGTGTACGGCCTTCCAAGAACAAATATCGCTGGACAGATGGTCGGCCTGTACTTCATGTACTTCTACTGGCGTATGTCATCCGTTTCCTTCACTCTTCAATCCAACTCCGAACTAATGAATATGGATAGCACCATACGTCATTGGCATATCACTTCCTCAAGCAAACACTGCTGGCCAGACAAAGAAAGCCATTTGCTATAGCTTGGTCCAGATCGGTTACGCAGCCGGGAATCTGATAGGTCCACAGACCTTTATTGCGAAGCAAGCTCCAAAGTACACTGGGGCTGTTATTGCTATGCTTACTAGTTATTGCGTCTGCATGCTGTTGATGTTGTCATACTGGTTCATTGCAGCAGCCGAGAACAAGCGGAGAGATCGAAAGTATGGCAAGCCCGAAGCTGTCCATGAGGGCACCGTGGAGGGCTTTGTCGACATTACGGACAAGAAGCAGCATGATTTCCGCTACACTACTTAGGCGCAAGGAATTAGCCACTTTAGTAGGGTAATCATTGTGTTCAGACGAGAGTTGTTGAGGCGGAAAACATTTTATATTAGTATTGCCTCTTCTAAAACACGCTTAGGCAGTTAAGTAAGTCGCAACATACACGTTTTGAAATCAGGAGGAAATGAGTAGCCAGTACAGTTATGATATTCACGCTAAACTGATCGTTCCATGTCTTCCCGCTAAAATTGACCATCCCATTAAGGCTCCAGACGCTCTTAAATCACGAGCTTTCCAAACATCTTCAATTATTCGCCTAGCCTTTTTGACGTTTCCCAGCTGTCTCGTTTGCTGTAGAGCATCCAGTCTCTCGAGTACGAGCTTGCGGTCCTCATCTGATTCTGGCCTGACACCCAGCGTCGCAACAATAAATAGTGGCCATAAAATGGTGTTTGTTCGTAGTGATATTTTCGGAAGAAAGCTGAGAATCTGTGTTGTGAGTCGGACCATGTGTGGGTGAAAAGGGTTCGCGTTATCAATGCGAGCATATAGATACATGAGTGCCGCAAGCCGCTTGGACTCGGCAATGATGTGGCCGTTATCGCTATCAGAAGACGTTTGGACTCCATGGGCGGGTATTTCTAATTGATGTATGCGCCTCTCGATGTCATCTCGACGATGCTTGATGTCTGGTGGATGATCAATGGGGCCTGATTTGGGCGAAGTAGGAGCCTCAGACATTTCCAGGTAAGTTATGATGGATGCAAGATCTGTGGTCTCTGCTATGAGGCTCATCAGCTCTTTTGAGCATCCAGTCAGAGTGTGAATCGCTGGGCTATTGGTAGAATGTTGTAAAAAGTCTTTTATCTCGTGAGCATGCCTTGGTGTCCAGACAGTGGCAGCAAGAATATCGTGTGACAGAAAATAGGCAACCGCAAACTCATAAAGCTCCCGATGCTCTAGGTTATTGTCTGATTTAAATGTTGAACCAGACAGTAGAAAGGATCGTGCGAAATCAGCGTGAACTTCCCACGACTGAGAACAGTCATGCAAAATCTACAGTTTGGGTTAGACACGGGTGACACAATGAAGGAGCAACCTGACCTCGTAAAAGCACATCATTAAAGTTGACGATATAATTTGCTCGATTCCAATTGCGGCCTCCGTGATCATTCTTGATTGTGAATTGTAGTTGACGACCTGATTCCGCAATGCAGCGAGCGCTCGGTTTCGATGGTCCCAGATGGAGATTTGAGGGTTTCCATGCTTAAGCATCTGCATCTGACTTGCCGATACAGCCATTATGCATTGGAAAAGAGGCCCTTGCGGTGAGACTGCAGCTATTCTTAGTATCACATTCCGATATGGGTTTGTTTCGTGATTGAGGGCGCATCGCGGTGCTACAAAAGCCGTGAAGTAATCCCATAGGCGCGAGTGCTCCTTCGAGAGACTGAAAAAGTCTAGCGATCTGGGCGAGGTCACAGTTGGTGGATCGAAGATTTCTATCGACGTAGATGGAGTTGACGATGAGAGAGTGGATTGGGCGTCCGAGGCTGAATCGTCGATCCAAGGCTCATCATCCCCGGATGAAGCATTGAAGTCGTCAAATGTCGTGTTTAGGAACATCCATCTTTCAACTGTGAAATCAAGCGGAGGCCGGTGATGTTGCCAACTGGACACGCGACGACCCCCATGAGCATCGCTTTTGGACACCTTCTGCCATGTGAGTCGGACTTCGTACTGACAAACGTGACCGAGACGTTCACAGTGATGGCATACTGGTCGCTGTTCTGGATGGTTTTATTAGCTCAACAAACTGATATGATTGTGACCTCTTGCCCACGAACCTGGGCACTTGACTCTTCGCTCTGTAGTAAGTCAGCATGGACAGCTAGGAGGCACAATGTAACAGGTTGATGTCCACTCACCACGACATTTCCAGCAGCCGCTCCGGACGCGGAGCTCTCCCGATCGACGTTTCCGCCGTACCGCCGACATGGGATCGGATACTAGGATCTAGAGAATGTGACCGGTGGATCTCCCCACCACGCGCATAAATAACTTTGCGACGATGGTATCCTATGGCGTGTTGCGCTGATGACGGATTGCAATTACTCTTAACATGCCACAATTAGGAGACGAGAGAGTTGGCAGTTCGAATCGACGAGACTTGAGCTAGATCAGCACAGGAGAATGCTCCACTGATAAGCCAACCAACAGAGGCGCACTAACTTAGTGGCAAGAGGGGAAGAGAGGGGGTCATGGCATACCAGTAGCGCGCATGCATGCTCCGGGCAAGTAATAGCACCTCTGACTAGAGGAATGCGCCGAAGGCCCCCACATCGGTCACGCCCCGACGCACAGGGGCTGTAGTTTAGTCGCTTCGGGTTGCCATGAGATGGAAAGACTATCACCAGGTAAACCGTTAAACGGGACAAGAATATTCTATCCTGAGCGCGTAACCGACGTCGGGGATCCTCTTTAGTTCAGACTTGGCGATGGCCTGATACTCTAATCATTCTCAGGAGCCTATGGTATGAGAACAAGTTTCTGACTATCGTTGCTTCATTTATTTAATGTAGAAAGTCATCGAAAGAGTGCATCTTCTGCTCGTGAATCAGAAGGGCAATCTTGAATATCGCGATGTCAGCTCAACAAAAGTCTGTCCTCATAGTTGGTGGAGGCACCTTCGGTCTCTCGGCGGCCTACCATCTCGCCCTATCTGGTTACAAATCGGTCACGGTGTTAGACAAAGGTGATTCAATTCCATCGTCCCTGTCCGCTGGAAATGACATCAACAAAATCATCCGTGGTGAATATGAGGACCCTTTCTACTCTGAGCTGGCGCTCGAGGCCATGTCCGAATGGGCTAAGAACCCCGTATTCGCGCCACATTACCATCAAACGGGCTATCTATTAGGAAACTCTGCCGCTGCCCCGGAGAAGAGCAAGCGATCGCTAGCCAAATCGCTGGAAAGCATAAAAGCCCACCCTGCATGGGCAGGCAAGATTACACCAGTTCGCAATAGAGAAGACATACGTCGGGCCGCACCAGCGCTGAACGGACCGATGGACGGCTGGGAGGGATACTTTAACAAGTTCGCTGGATATGCACACTCTGCAAATGCATTAAAATCTGTTCACAATGCGATCATTAAGCTAGGCGTCACGATCTACACAGGCGAAGCCGTTACGAGGTTGATTTACGCTGGCGAACAGTGCACTGGTGTTGTCACGGCGGGGGGGAAGCATTATACCGCCGATATCATTATATTGACATTGGGAGCGTCACTAGGCAAAGTTTTTCCTGCTATCGGTCAACAAGTTACTGCAAAAGCGTGGAGTGTTGTGCATGTTCAACTCAGTGAAGAGGAAGCAGCTCGGTTGAAGGGCATCCCGGTCACCTACGCACGAGACCTTGGCTTCTTCTTCGAACCTGAGCCTGGAACCGGTTTGCTAAAGCTCTGCCCCAGTGGTGCTGGTTACACAAATTACGTTTCTGAGACTGGTCTATCTGTTCCTCCGGATCAGAATGACTTCATTCCACCAGCTGACGAGATATTGGCCCGAAAGCTTCTACGCGAGACCTTGCCGGAGCTTGCGGAACGGCCACTTATCAATAAACACATATGCTGGTGTGCAGATACCGTGGACTCAGATTACGTGATTGACCTTGTTCCCGGAACGAAGAACCTGCTTGTTGCAACTGGCGATTCGGGGCATGCGTTCAAGATGTTACCTATTGTTGGCAGCTGGATCAAGGATGTAATTGAGAAGGGGGAACAAAGTATACCGCGTTGGAAGTGGAAAGCTGGAACGGACGCCGGCGGTAATGTTAGCTGGAGAACTGGACAGGTGGTAGATCTGAAAGCTACGGGCGTGCGGAGCAGGCTTTGAGTTGAGAACAGACTATACTGCATTCCTATTTTACACTATGAATAGGCCCGTTGTTTCTTTCATCACTTGGAGAAAGTCGACTCTTGTTCCAGCGAGGTTTTGTTTTTGGATCACGGCCTCAAGGAGTTTTCGGGTTTTCACAATATTCTGGCCCCATTTCTCTGCCAATTCTAGAGTACGAACAGCCCATGCTTGATATATTGGGTCTTTAGTGGTGATTCCCGCGATGAATACATGTGTCGGCCAGATGCCCTGAGGTGACCCCGATCTTTCGCGCGACACGCGCTGACACATCCTGATAATACGATCAGCACATTCTTCCGGAGAAAGAAGCCACGCCTCGTCGGAAGCTGGACGAGGTCGGTAGATGTTATAATGTATTAAACTCGTGTAATAACTCCCAAGAAGAAGCAATCTGTTGTAGCATATTGCGGTTACTGTTGGCATAGCGTTCAGACTTCCTTCAGCGACAGCCAATGCCGCCTTTGCTGCAGGGGAATCATCTTGTTCGACTTCCTTTTGCAGGATCGTGAGACTCGAATGAACTGACTCCCATGCCAAGCTGCTGACTGGTGTGATGTGCCCTGTTCCCCGTCCAAGAATCTTGATCTGACCGGCAACCGTCACATTTCTAAGACTGAGGCGCATGCATGCCTGCATATCTGTAGGACAATCACTTTTTGACCCGGGTCGCGGAATCCAATTCACTACGGCTGGTGCGTCATCTGATACTGAGGACTTGTCCACGAGCTCGTAAATGTGCGGATACATCTTCAAGCAACCTAGAAGCTTGCCGCCATAGCCCAAGTACGATGCCTGGTTATCTCTAGCACTCATCCAGACTAGAACGAGAGATCCGATGGGACCAATGCGACTCATGGCACCCTCCGGGTTGCTGTCGTCTAGTTCGCATTTGACGACATTTGCGGCAAGATTGATAAGTTCGCAAAAGCTTTCCACTCTTTCAGCGAGGATAAGTTGGTATTGCATCAAAAACCATATTGTTGTAAGAAGTAATGCAGGCGATATGTCATCGGCAAGGTCTTCAATCAGTTCCGTGTAGGCGGCGTCGTATCGCTTCGTTGCATCATCATCACTCTGGTGAGTGACGTGGGCTAGATGTAGGGCAGACCATGCCATCATAGCGTCGAACAAGCTTCTATGAAACAAGCCCATGTTTGTCAAAATATAGCTGTAGAGATTGTCATGAACGCAATTGCGCAAGATGCAGAATCTCACCATCGTCGTGGTGAAATGGTGCATGGGCGGTCGATCGGCTGCCACAAGCGTAACATCTCGACATCTCCTAGGCCCGACATTTGTTGGCGATAAATTTACAGCAGAGTCAGACTCCTGAAGATCGTCCAATGCAAATGAAGGATATAGATTAGGCTTTTGGCCTGTAATGGTTGCAGACTGATGGTGATAATTGTAATCCCCGGGTCCGAGAGTCTCAGACCAATCAACATCGAAAAACCCTTCGACCATCTCAAGGGAAGGCCACCATGGCGGAGAGAGTTCCTTTGATAAGCTGCTACTTGGTTCGATCAGGTCAGTATCGGCAAACGAAGGAGCCAACGAGGATACATCTTGAATCGTCACAGTAGATGTATTAATCTGCGTCTTCTCTTGGCGGTCGCGTCTAACCCTCTTTGAAGTATTGCTGCCATCGGCTCCCCAAGTACAGGTCAACTTCAGGCGAAGACAAGCCCCGCATGCTGGATGAGTTTCATCACATCGCACCTTTCGCTTACGACACACAAGGCAGCCTAAGTCACTTGTGTTAGCAAGGATTTCATTATTTGTGCGTCTGACCTACCAAGCTTGGACCGCCTTTTGCGAGACGCGTTTCTGTCATCGGTCATCGTTGAGCACACAATCCTGTGAGCTCTATCATTCATGTGAAGGATGGGACACCACTTCTCGGTCGGTTCTCTGGAACGGCGATCGGTTCGCCCTTATCTTGCCCGTCGGCTAACTGTCGCCCGACATCAATTTCCATCTCACTAGCCGACACTAGTGGATCCAATAGGTTTGAGACTAAGCTTAGATTTCGTGCAGTATTGATATCTATATATGTAAAATGTTTTATAAACAAGCCTCGCATAGGAGAGTACTCAGTCTCGGGTCGCGGGTGACACAGTAACCTCAGTCGTTCTATTTAGGTCTCTTTTGCATGGCGCCGTTACCACTTTCTATCCTATCGTAGTCTCGACTCGGTGGCCCACCGATCATCAGAACCTCGAAGTTTGTTGAGATACTCGTCAAACTTCACGACCGAGGCAAAGGCATCCTGGACGTGCTTGTACACTAGCATTTGCTTGCGAAACTTCGCCAAATACCTTGCTAGAGTGATGACATTCCGAATCTGACGGCCATTTAGCTCGACCTGTGCTAGTTTGTGGACATTAAGTTCTAGATCGTCAATATCGACCCGTTCCTTGGTTTTAGCGAGCATCCGGATAAAATTACGCCAGATTTCAACACGCTGGTCCTCGTCGAGATTCGAGTATCGCAATGCTAGATGAATTCGCGACTTGAAAGCCTCGTCAAATGTACCAACCCGGTTTGTTGTTAAAATTAGAATGCCATCATAGTACTCTAAGACTCGTAGAAAGACTAGCAAGTGAGATATGTTAGAAACTCGCTCATTGATATCAAAGCTGCTGAACTGCAGGTATACTCACCTGAAACAATAGCATTTTGTCTTTGATCTGCGACGTTTCTTTCTTCTAGAAAGACATCTGCCTCGTCTAAAAGGACGACTATGCTTTTGTCAATGCTTGGAATTTAACACATTGACCTGTGAAGCTTACCACATTCCCAGGTCAATGTGTTAAATTCAGATCGGAAGAGCNNTGAGAACCGATTGTAGGTACTAGTTTTGTCAGAAAATGAGAGTTTCAAGGAGTCGCAAATCACATACCCTTTCAACAGCAGAAGGCTCCACACCAATATCACCACATGTAACGCGGTAGAGTGGGCGTTCTTGCGCTTCGGCGATACTCTCGGCAGTAAGAGTCTTCCCTGTCCCAGGTCCTCCATGGAGAAGAATGAGAAGTCCTTGGCCTTTGTCGGCGATGATGTCGGGAGCTACGCTCAAATGATGCCCATGGGCAGTGACGGCGGCCTGAATGAGCTCTTTGGTCTCTCCAGGTACAACGAGACGCTTGAATGCATCTTTGTTCCACGTTACGTCGGTGATATGGTCGACTCTGATAAGCCCTAATAATAACAAGTCAGTCTTGGATGCAATGTCAGCGACACGATATTTCGTGTTCATACTAAATCCTTTCGCTGAAAAGTCAAATGCATGTAATTGCGGGGGCAGCATGGCCAGGAATTCGTCACTAGGCGGTTCCGCTCTGTTCATCGCCTCTGTACCAAGGTCGTCCGCCTGGCTCAAAAATATTGCCTTTTTGGGATGTATCCTACGAAACATGTTGTAATCGACCATAACGCGGAGCTCGACCTAACGTGGGGGCCATCATTAGCAAGACACGTCAAAACAGGAATATCGTTTGCGACTTACAGGCTTCGAAATTCCATCGCCCTCCGAAGCTGGCTCAGTATAGGACACCAATTTCTTTTTTCTGCAACCCCAAAACTTGTTTCCCCTTGCTATCAACTTCTCATGCATTCCAGTCTTCGCAAATCGGAGAGGATATACTCTAAGCGTGGTTATGTCGACTTCTCCATCCCGTTCATACATCTGGAAACCATCTTGTGTCACCATCAAAGATGTATCTATGACCCCGTCTATTTTCTGAAACAGCCCGTTGTAAAGCCACCAGTAGACATCAGCTTCTCCATCTTGTATATCTCTCCAGGGATAGTCCTTCACTTTGTAAACCCATATTAAGCTTTGCTCAAATCTTCTCGGGTTTAGCATAAGCTCTCCGGGACGAAACAGCTTTGGGAAATGTTTCGTGGTGACCTTTCCACGAGAGAAAAGTTCATCGGCCTCATCCCAATCTTTCCGGCAATGTTTCTCAAACCAGCTACAGAGCAACTTGATACTCTGGGAGTCAAAGTCGTCCAGCTTACTGTTGTCAGCAAGTTCGAGAAGTGTCTTATTATGAGCGTAAAAGAAGAGAAACGGCTCATAAAACACTTTTGGTGGCTTTTCCTTGTATCCCTTGAAACATCCATGATGAGCATGCATGATGTCTTTCATTGCCCGTTCAATGGCCTGTCCAGCAACAATATGCTTCTTCTCACTTTCTGCCGGAGGCGAATCGTCAATGATCTTACCATCCTTGTACCCAACTCTTCGGTGATAGTCTGGCCCTCCTGCACAAGAACAGTTGTACTGGTGGACTACGGCAAAAGCCATATGTTTGTGTTTCTCTAAATGTTTTGACATATTCTCCATTCCCCTGAGTCCTCGCAGATGATCAGACTTCATATCCCCTTTGAACATCCGGGGGACGTCCCTGAAGTAGTTTCGCTTGGTACCAGCGCACCAAACTAGATGATACTCTTCGAATATTGGTGTTTCCGGGAGTTTGGTTGCATCTTCGTCACCAACTTGGCTCTGTGGTTGGCTTTCGTGTTTGTCGCTCAACAATTGGCGTCTGTCGCCTTTCTGCGCCGTCTGTATCACTTTCTTGAGCATTGCGTTCTCTGTAGATAGCCTTGCAACAGATTTGATGAGGTAGTCAATCAGCTGCGTATTAAAACCTTCGCCAGAAAGCTCTAAACCTGGTATCGTAGACAATTTCTGTTCAATTTGTTTCCCCATATCAATAGTCGTGGTATCCATGGTGTTATTCAGGATCGCTATGGGTACGTCAGCTTGGCAGTATTCCCAACTCCGGTTTTCGTCCGTTACCTGTCGTGGTTGTGTCCTCGGCTGTCTCATCAATCTTGCCCTGCTCTGGCTTTTCCGTATTATCGTCTTTTTCCTTTTTTTCATCGTCATCGTCGCTACCCTTCTCGCTACTATCGTCTTGAGGATCATCATTGTCGGCTAGGTGGTGATCTCGTTAGTGAAAGATTTCACAATTGAGATCGGTGACGGTACGGTAAATAATGCCCAATTGCGCAGCCATGCGTGCCAATGCTTCTGTTTTGTCGCTATAATCTTGTGAAATAGTATCATTCACACCCTTGAGCAGCGCTGCTGATTCTTCGCTGTCATCGTCTAGAATGCTAGGAATTATTGGGAATTGAGCATCTTCGTCCATTGTCCAGTCAACAAGGTGGCTAGAATTTGCAAAGCAGATGAAAGGCCGAGCTGGAATCGAGGGGAGAGGCAGAGGCATAGCATTAACTACCACACAAATACGAAGGTTGCACAGCAGGACAGCACCCTCGTCACAACCCCCTTGTAGGGCACCGCCATGGGTCGGCTGGGAAGGGCGGCTGAAGAAATGGGGGCGAAAAACAGCCCACCAGCTTCCTATCAAGTTAAGCTTTCATTCCAGGATCTTGCACTGCCGCTTTGTTACCGGGCATAGCACCGCCACCATGCAATGCTCGCCTGCTAGCAATCCAATCAGGGTCATAAATCAGCCACCAAGGAAGTTGAGAAAGGCAGCTTCAGCGCCAAGGCCACCAACGGTCCAGCTGCTGCACAGTGAGCCTGCGCGGGGAAGATATACAAAACGACATCGCGTCCTCCTTCATCCGTTTCCTCCCAGCGCCGAGTGTCGTGCATCAACTCCCATTGTGAGAGATGTCGCAAATGCTGGCACCTGATTCTGGTGGCCTCATTCCGGCTCATATCGGCATAGAGAGTACCGGCCAAGATCCCAACACCTTTGGACAGACGCAACTGTTGGCTGCAAAGCATGTATTGACAGGACAAGCCAGCCTGTGGCAGTGGTACATGCCTAGTAACCACGATGACCGGTAATATTGATCTTCCAGTTCTCACGACGGTCCCAGAACTGAACTTTTACAAGGGAATCATCAATCGACATTACAGAGTCAGCATATAACAAGGCTCTTAAATTCCACGGAGAACAATTTGGGCGAAATCAAACAAACACCTGGCTCACACCTAGATCGTCCATTTGTGAGGTGCTAAATGTCCTTGCCGAAGCGCAGAATAAGTATACAGCGAAGAAACTATCTCGGCGAAAATCATCAGTTATTATGGCATCGTGGTGGAAGGCAGTCTCATCGAAAATGATGCAGTACGAAAAAGTTGTTGACACGCTTGTTTCATCACATCCCGAGTATTCAGCTCTTGTCTGGGGTGCAATGAGATTTCTCTTCACAGTAAGTGTCGTCTGCCCGAGTGCGCCGGAAGCCAGTTTCTAAGTGCGCCAGGTGACTCTCAACCACGAAGAGCTGTCTAGCAAAATTGCACAATCTTTCGCAGAGATTGGTAGCGTTCTACCTGAGGTAGACTTCATTGCGCAGAAGCTGTACCCGACCGAGAGCATTCAAGTCACATTGGCACACGTTTACGCGCAACTTCTCGAATTTTGCACTAGAGCGACCGCATGGTACAACCGAGTTCAAAGCAATCCTATCAAAAAGGTCTTGACGGCAATTACAAAGACATGGCCACTGGAATTCCAGGACATTCGATTGAACATTGATAGGTACTTTAGGCGGCTTCGAGAGCAATCAGCTGTAGCTCACCAAGCTGAAACTCGGGATATCCATAGAAAAATTAGTGATATCCGTATAATGCTTAGCAAAAAGTCCTCTATCCAGCAAGCTTTTGGTAAGTCAAACTCCGCTAACGTATACAGACAGAATGCTAATCAGCCTCACAGGATCAGAAGCGACCACCATACGGCTCAATCCATCAATACTAAAGATGTTACCTTTAATCCAAGAAAGAGTTTCGCTTTATCTTAGATGCAGCACCCCTGATCCAAATCAAACTCTCGAGGTAGGCGCTGCCATGAGGGATAGGCGTCGAGCACGCGGAGGATTTGGACACCCTGGAGTCTGGACTTCAGCCGAACTGCGCGAATGGATCTCGAAACCCGACTCAGCACTTTTACAACTGCGAGGATCATTGCTCCGCGCTGAAGAAACAAGAGATATTGCCCTTGACCTGGTGCAATTGCTTAGATCCGTTGAGCTTCCTGCCATCTGGTATGTAGGCACCGCTTGCTCTGTGGAAAGCGGTCCTGCAAAGCGCGTTCCAGTAGCTGACGTCTTACGGTCACTGATACAACAAACCATTGACCAGCACACGGAGGTTCTCCAGACCTGGGACATCAACGAAACTCGCTTTCAAGATTGCAAATCCGATCGAGACTGGCTACGCGTCTTCATATCCGTCTTAAGTCAGATAGAAAGGATTGCTATAGTCGTTGATGCCCATCAGGATGTCACCGAAATTCTTGGCATGATCAGCCAGTTTTGGGATATCGCAAGCCGTGACAACATAAAAACTATTGTTAAGATCCTAGTTCTCACATATGATGCTTCTCCCGAACTACTCGGATCATTCCCATTGCTTCCTACAACAAGTAAGGTGGGTTCATCAAGACTCGCTCGAGGACCAGGCGCTTTGGCAAGGCCTGGCCGAGGCAATTCGCGATTCCTAAGTCAACGAAGAAAGACCTACCGATCGCTTCAAATTGCTGGTCCCGAAGAGTTCAAGCCATATGTATTGCAGTTTGTTAATGTTGGGAAAGGATGAATGCCCAAATATAGACTATCTAAAGCAAATATAGACTTATTTATTCAGCCTGATTAAAATCGAGAGGTAAGGTGTAGGTGAGCAGGA